GGTGCGCTTTTAGCAAATTATGAAGTATTTAATATTTATACAAACAATCAGTAATACTAGTTTCAAGCGGTTGTACTGGTTTGTAGTATTAAGCAGCACAAGTTTTTGTGAACTTTCTAATAGAAGAACACTAAGTGACCTTCTTCTTAGGATACCTATTCGTTTCGAAAGTTGTCGATCATTCTGGATATAATGGCTTTGTTGATTGCTATACGGAATAGCTGTGTTCTTCTTCGTCCTGAGGCCCTGTTTCTTCAACTTCACCTTGCAAAATACATTGGAGTAGATCATATATGCCTTGATTTCTCATTTTATGTACCAAGTACTACAGCTTAGAGCCCTTCACGATGTTGACCAAATCCACGGTTGTGTTCATCATCCGTAGTACTTCTTCATTGGTGACCTTGTCTGTACATGGTATCTTCAGAATCCTTCTGTATCAAAAAATTTTGATCGAGTTTTTACCTTCAATGTCCACGTTTCTACTTCCTACGGAAGTAATGATTACCCGTAACATTTAAGGAGCCATATTTTTATTTTTAGGTTGAGGTAATGGCTCTTGAACCAGGAGCATATATTCAAAAATGCACTTTTTGCCTTTCCGATGTGACATTTAATCTCTTGGGTATTGCTTCATGACTAATTAATTATAGTTCCCAAGTAGCTATACTGTAAGACACATTCAATTCTGATTGTATCGTTCACATACAGATTTGCTTTCTAGTTATGTTTTACTTTCGAAAAACGAAACGAAAAATTTTTCATCTCACCTGTCACATCTTCTCAACAGATATCAGAACATTCATCTACGGTTTCTTCAGTCGCAGGTTTTTGTAAATCTATATTTTCTTCCGCTGCGGGTTGTTCTTTGATTTCATTCTCACTCTCCGAGTCTGTTCCTGTCCATCCGCGATCAAATGCCTCCTTCAATTCAAAATCACGAAACTCATCACTATTTTCCAACATTCTTAACAATTCTGCTTCAGTATCCTTATGATAACAACTCCCTTTAGGTCTGGAGAGACCAACGTGAACGTACTTATTTTGCATGATAATAAAACAATAAAAGTATTTGAAAAACTTGAACCACGTGTAAGTGATAAATATCCTTCCTTGAGTGCCTACTAAGAAAAATGCAACACATCTGCGGTGCCGACTAAGAAACGTAAATAAATATATAAATACGTACCGAACGCTTATAACCGACGAAGGCACCCGAACAAAATACACAGTGACTCTTATAAGCGTCAAAGGCATCAAACCTGTTAAAAACAGCTTTAACAGATGGCTCATTAGCCTTTTGATCCTACAGTCTTTATAAACTTTTGCTCCTGGTTTTTAAGCAATGGTACGAACTCTGATTTAAGCCACCCTACTGGTGTTTTTCCTGTCTTGTATATTTTAGTAAATATTTCAATTATTTTTATTTGTTCTGCGTCTAATAATTTCAGCAGTTCTGCAGGAATTTTATTAAGTTCCGGTGAATTTCCATCCTTTATTTATCAGACGGCTGCCATTATTTCTTCTGGTAGGAATTTGGGATCTAAATTTTCTTCAGTGGTGGGTTCTTGTATTGTTTGAAGGTCATGGAAAGGAAAAAGTTTTTTTCTATACTTTCTCTTTATTTTCTTTGGTTTTGGCAAGATCTCCTTCAATATCTGTTATTTTTCCGTAGTTACGTTTTTGGAACTTTCCAGCTATTTCCTTCACCTTTCGATCGACATTGAAGTTATTATATCGACTCTGATACTTCTTTATTTCATGACATTGTTCGGTTTTTTGTTTTTCTTTGGCTTCTCTTATCTTTCTTCTGACGTAGGTATGTATCTCTTATATTTTTTTTGTTTTGTTCTCTGATCCATAAGTTCATAAGTAATAGTTTATAAAAACAATACATAGATGTGCAGGTGAAAAGATGATATTGTCATAACTAATTTCGGGAGACAAAAACGCTATTGAAAAAGATAAAATAATTATTTAATATCCACTTGTGTATCTACTTCACTTCTTTTTTTTTGAGTACCAGCAATAACTCTCTCTGTTATCTTCTACAGAGAGTAAAGAGACCAACTCCATGCTTTTAAGAGAATTTATCAACTCTATACTAGAAGACCTAGTGGAAGACACTTAAGCATAAAGAAACAAATTATGAGCTCACATAGCAACAATGAATGTTAGCCAACCGTGCAAGAAGATAAAGGCAAAAAGAATGCTGATGAAGCAATTAGTAGTTAGTATTGAGGATTACGGGTCATTCGGTCAAAACTGAAAAATTCTTTAGAAAAAAAATTAGAGGCATTTGAACTGTGGATGTATCGCAGAATCCTGAGAATATCATGGACCTAGAGAGTCACAAATGTCTGAAGAAGGATGAATAAAGACAAGGAAGTTATATTTACGATCAAAAAACAAAAACTGCAATACTTGGGACACATTACAAGAGGCGAAAGATATGAACTGCTTCGAATAATTATGTAAGGGAAAATAGCAGGAAAAATGTCCATAGGAAGAAGGCGAAACTCCTGACTAAAGAATCTACGGGAATGGTGTAGCTGTAGCAACAACGAATTGTTTCGGTTAGCAGTTTCAAAAATACGTATAGCCCTGATGATCGCCAACCTTCGGAACGAAGATGGCACTTGAAGAAGAAGAAGAAAAATTCTTTCGCACTTAAAAATGCAGACGGAAAAATTTATGATTATGAACAACAGTGGAAAGAATGTTAGAGTGACTTTTTGAAGATGCTTCTTGGAAAAATGCTACACATACACATACAACGTATGGCAACCAGTTGAACAGAGGTCCATGTATACTAAAATAAAAGTCAGAAATGCAATAAAGCAAGCTAAAAATAATAAAATACCTGGACCAGATCAAATCCCGTTAAACTTTTGCTCGAGGAAAACATTACCTACTTAACTACTTTTTTTGAACAAATTTACAATGAACAAAGGAAAAACACCAGACGATTGGTCAGATGGAGAACAGATCTTTTTAAATACATGTTATACAAAAAATAAATACCTACTTAAAAATCAACCTACACTCTTGATATTGCATAAAAAGTTGGGATTTATATTTAGTCTAGGCGGGATCTGTTTTGGATTGGACATTTTCCATAGGAAGCTATTTTTTTGCTGGAATCCCTTCAGGATACGTCCAGTATCGATAATCACGATATGCGCCAGTCGCAAACCCTGTGATAAATGTTTTATTTAACAAAATCTGAAAACAATTGAAAATTTCTCATTTTTTGCTATATTTTCGTTTATAATTCGAAAAATATTGATCCTAGAGAAAAAAATTATAAGAACTTAAAAATTTCGTTATTCAATTTTAAACAATATTTCGTTAGCTAGAAATTAAAAATCTAATGTTTATTTTTGAAAAAAATAGCAATAATTGGAAAAAGAAGTACAATAAAATGAAGTTAATACTTTAAATGTTTTCGACTTTCTAAACTTAACTTACAAGCTAAATATTTCGCCTGAAAAAACGTTTTAATATGTTTAAAACGTGTGCTAAATTTATTTTATTAAGATCGGTCGGATAGGTTTTGCATAATAATTTTGCAATCCAGCCTACTGGAAAAAAAAATCGAAAATTTTCAAATTTATAGTAGGCCCTAAATAAGGCCCTCATTAGATAGTTTTTTTACATATAAAGACTTTGAAACGCTTTTTGTAAAATTCAAATCGGGTCACTAGGAGAGACTAGAAATTTTTTTAAAGTTTTAAACATTTTTTAGGCTTATAAACAAATTGAATAACTTTACAAGCTTTTTACTTATCAATTTCAAAATCTATACACTTAAAGAACATTAAAAGACGCTTCTTTAAAAAAAAAAAGATACATTCGGCTTACTGGTAGCCGAGATATTGAAGGTCAAAGTTGGCATACATTTGCCATATAAGCGATAGAGGGCTCGTTTTTAAACAAATACCCTCGTCTTGTCAAGTACTTTTTATATGATAAATTTTACGTAATGCACTTCATGGCAACATCCATAAAAAAAGACAAATAAAAAACCGTTTTCGCGTCAAATGTCGCTCGGAATGCATGAGAGGTGCTGGTGGGGGATCGGCGACGCGAAATGTGAATCGGCAAGTTCAAAATCATAGCGCGCGCTAAAAATTGCAATTGCGTCAATTTTGCTCTTTTTTTTTTAATCGATGTCTCGGACGACAAGGATTTCAAATATCATATTTTCAAACACCATTTTTAATTGCAAATTGTGAAATTTGCAATAAACAATTGTATGTTAAACCATACAATTACGTAATTGCATTTTTTTCCGTGCATTTTTTTGAGCTTGCAGTTTATACATTGAAGTAAATTGTTACTTCTAGTAAACAAATATGATTTGATAAATTGATAATAAATAATTTATATGGTTAAAACAAAGGCGAATGAAAAAAAATTTTAAACATAATAAAAAGTTTTTCTAGGCAGAATATGGAGGTTGTAAGTGAAGTTAAAAAGTCGAAAACATTTAAATGAATAACTTCATTGTTTTGTACTTGTTTTCCAATTTTTACTATTTTTCCAACAATAAACATTACATTTTCAATTTCTAGCTAACGAAATATTGTTTAAAATTGAATAACGAAACTTTTAACTTTTTATAATTTTTTCTCTAGGATCAATATTTTCCGAATTACATATAAACGAAAAAAGGACCAAAAAAATGAGAAATTTTCAATTGTTTTCAGATTTTGTTATAAAAAATTCAGTACAGGGTTTGCGACTGGCGCATATCGTGATTATCGATATTGGGCACATCCTGAAGGAATTCCAGCAAACAAATAGCTTCCTATGGAAATGTCCCGTAGTCACCTAATGTTCGACTTCCCAGATTTAAAATACATTTAATCTACCTATAATGTAATAATAATAATGTTCCTTTATACAGCTAGTGTAGTATGTATACTCTCATATTTACTAATAAATTAATTAACTTTATTCATTTTAGTAATAATTCAAAATACATTATTACGAGTATGATTGGTAAAATTACTATTTTCTTTCAGTTTGAACAACTAGCATTCACGTGGATGGAACGACAAAAACTAGGTGGCTCGTATTCGTCTCATAGAGCACAATCAGAAAAACACGTTGTAGTGTGCAGTACAACGTTACATGCGGATACAATTATGGATTTTCTTAACGAGTTCTACGCTCATCCTCTTCTGCAGGTACAGTTTAATTTAACATTCGGGAGAATGCATGGTTTTATATTACAACATTGTTTAGAGTTAATCATGTTGGTTTACTTTTTTTGCGCAGTGAATGATGAAGAATGCAAATGTATAATAGGCTTGATTTTAGTTTTTTATAAGTTTTGATGTATTTGATGATATTATTTCTATTATTGTTAAATTATATAAAAAGTTTTTAAAAAGACTATCAGACACGCACGTCGATTTTTCGCGTTATGGGCAATACAAATACCCACGAAGCAAAAATGTTTTGAACCAAATTTTTTCATTTATTTTTGCATGTCAGCGATCCATGACACTTTTAATTGCATTTATTGTCACCACAAATCTTTTACAGTTGCATCTGAGAACACCTTGACTAGAACCTTTGGATGACATATTTGCTGCAGTTCGTAAGGGTATTTTCTTACCACTAATATCATTTGATTTAATCATGAATTACGAATCGGTTTGAAGGAGTTCATTTCTTAAAAATAATCCCAGTGGTCCATTCTCAGTACTGAGTTTCTGCAAGCTATCAATATTAATTCCAGAAACAATGGCTAATACATTTTTAGGTTACAATTGTGTAACGGCTAGCTCACCCATTGCACATTAAAACCCCTCAGGGGTGATGTTCGGCATAAACTAACTTAATTTGAGAAATCGGAAATTATTAATAAAATAATTTCTTAAACACATATCTTTATTTATTTATATTTTAATAAATCAAAATATATTAACAATTAATTTGAGGTTCTAACAACAGGGAATTAAGCATCTATATACAAAATCTCAAGAAATAAAGAAACTTAGCTCTACTCTATGAGAAATCCTCCTGCTGTTCTCTTCCCAACTCGGACCATACAATGTCTGCAAAAACCATGCTGCTAAGCCGAAACCATGTGGATCCCTCTCCAATCCAAAGCCATGCGGATTTCCAAAATCGAGATGGATTTCTTATTCCAAAAAAAAACAATTCCATTTTCGTATTCTTCGACCCAAAAAATCCATGTCAACGTAAATTTTCTTATATCATAATCAAGGTGGATTTTCTTGAATAAAAACCAAGGTGGATTCTCTTGAATAAAAACCTAATACATTTCTAGGAGTTAATCGACCTCTATCGACATCCAGCACTCAAATCAAAGCATTAGTCCCATTTTTTTAAAGGAGCAATTCTTTTGTTTGACTCACATATCATCTTTGATGCCCGAGCTCTCATTATTTTATGTGATTCTTCTCTCTCGTCCAATATTCTCTTGTCTTTGGGTTAACTGATCATTGAAATTTTTGTCAACTTTGACTTCGTTTATATTGGGTACATCTTCATTACTTTTAATTAGGTTTAAATTGTTTAGGATTTCTAAAGTTTTCTTGTCAGGGTTCTACACTGTTGCTTTCTGCTCCATTCTTTAAATAATTATCGTCATATTCTTTTTCCATACTATTTATTAATTCTTCCTTAATTTATTAATTTTTTCTAATAATCCTTTCTTAATTTTATAGTTTATCAAGGACATCTTTCGGAAGGTCTGCATATTCGTTTGTCTGCTGCTAAAACATGGTCTCATATGGGCTCCTACCAATTCTTCTATGAAATAATCTGTTTTTCTTGGACTGTGTCAATCTCAACCCTTCGGACCATGTTGTATTACCATTTAGCCAGGTAATCAACATATCCTAAACATCTTGATTAAACCTCTCTACGCGTTAATAAACAACTGGCATCTCGCCAGAACAATGATTAACGAGAAAAAGGTAAAATGGGCCATATTGTGCTTCACTCCTTTCAAATCACTAGGGCCTGACGGCATATATCCAGCCCTACTACGGTGGGGACTGAATATCCTTCTGTCGCACCTCGTGGAAATATTCAGAGCCTCTGTGGCTCTGAGATATATTTCTAGGAAGTGAGAGAGGTACGATGTACGAGTACGAGAAACGATGGAAAGGCTCTGCAGGAGGTACGAGAGGGATGAAGTTCTGGTCCATAACCCTTCTTCTTATGATGCTTATCCGTTACGGATGTTGGACACTAACATGGTTATTCTGACTTTGTTGACTGCTGCCCTGAAAAGTCCGGTAGTGGTTAAGTTAAACCATTTTCGCAGGTTATGCAGCCAGAATATTCTTCTCCCTCCTGGACCTCTTTTCCCATGTACTTTACCTTGAAGTATTGTCCGAAGTAGGTCATATCGACTATCATTACGACTAGTTCATGCCCTTTACCCATTCGATGTAGTACTTCTTTGTTGGTAACTCTGTCTATCCAGGAAATCCTCAACATGCGTCTATAGCACCACATCTCAAATGCTTCGAGTCTCTTCAGTGATGCTTCAGTTAAGGTCCATGACTTCACGCCATATAAAAGAACGGAAAATACGTAGCATTTTGGTAAACGAACTTTTATTTCCAATTTTATGTCGTGGCTGTTAAAGATTTTTTTCATTTTGACGAAAGCTGATCTTGCCTTCTCGATTCCTACCTTAATTTCCGTCAATTGGTCAACTTAAGTTTGGACTCAGATAACAAAAGTTTCTGATTTGTGTTATAGGTTGTTGGTTAACTAGTATTTGGCCAGGTGGTATCCTATTTTTGCTTATAACCATGTATTTGGTCCATAACCCACTTCACCCAAATCAGCATGCATATACTTCGGGAAGATCTACCGATTCTGCACTACATCATAAAGTGGAAAGAATTAAAAGATCGCCGGATAATAAAGAATCCACCCGAGGTATATTCATAGACATTGAGAGAGCGTTTGAAAAAAACACATTCCCAACCATCACCCAAGAGCTAAACGTCAGGAATGTTCCCCTGGCCGTGAGGGAATAGATCTTCAATATGCTCTCCAATAGAATAATAAGCATAAATGTAAAAGACGTTTCTCTTAGAGACATGGTTACCAGGGAATGTCCACAGGGAGGGGTGCTATTACCACTCCTCTGAAACATAGTTCTAGATACCCTGATTGACCAACTCAGCAGCAACGTTGGCCAACTACAACAATCACGGAAATTGTCAAATTGCACTTCCATACGCAAACTGTAAAAAGGTGGGAAGAAACACAACTTTCCAAGTTAACACTAAGTAACCTTAAAGAGTCAACATCAAAGAAATACTTATGAATGACCAGGAAAAACCTACGCTTGACAGTTGATTTTTTAACTGGTCATTGTCAACTAAGCAAACACCTATACACACTGGGGCTAGCAGACACACCTCTATTTAGAAAGTGTGAACGAGAAGACGAAACTGTAGAGTATGTCCTATGTGAATGTCCCGGAGTTGTCGTTATTACGAGAGTACACATTCAGTGAGTCCTAGCCCACACCTGCCCACATAAGAGAGATGTCTCCTGGTGAGTTGTCTACTTTCCTAGAAATGGCAGGATGGACAATGAGCTAAGGGCGACAGTAGCCTAAGTGCTGTGAAACCTAGCTCGCCCTCCCTACTCTACAGATACAGATACAGATACAGATTCAGATAGCCGTTATCACTTTGTAAGATATATGGTTTTCAATGGTCTCAAGAACAAAAATTCTCCTGGTAGTTTAAAATAAAGTGGTATGAACCATCGAGCTCTGTTTGCATATCTATCAGGTCAACCTACAATATGATTATTATTATTGTTTCATATCTAAAAATAATTTTCATCGACTAGTATAACTTGCATTTACTAAGATACAAGGTTATAATTTCTTGGGTTATATTTCTGTACTTTTTCTTTAACTCATGCTCAATTCCTATAAAAAATAGAAACATGTTTAAAGACTTTCTGACAAGAACTTGACAAAGAGAGAGAGAGAGAGAGAGAGAGAGAGAAATGTACCTATAGACTGTACCCAACGCATAGTTAAAAAAAAGACCGAAATATGTACCTACCTTTTTGCCTTTTATGTCATATATTTATGTGGGCTGTATGCGCAATATCAAATAATTGCTCACGATGAACAAAAAATTTGATTTCCTCTTCGTTAGTGTGTTTTTTGGCTATTAGATCTTTATTTTCTCCATAGTTTAATAATTTATATCTATTGAGTCTTCAATAATGTTTGGATAATAGTTCTTTGCTGAATTTTCATAAGTCTTGTGCTTCTTTAGCCTCATAAACTAGTTTTTTATAGTCGCCTTCTAAAAGTAGCGTAGACCTAATACTTGACTCCATGTAAAGTTTATTCAAACGATCCTCGAATTTCCTTTTAAGGTTTTTGATTAATTCACCATTGTATTAGAAATTATCAGAAACTACACTGAATAAATTTTTTTTACCGGTAAGATGCGATTTCTGTATTTCACTTTGTGGGTTTAAATTGGCCATAAACAAGGAGGATCTCCAAACGGAGAGAATTCCTGTATGTTACCACTAAAAAAACATTCATTAATGTATTCAACTAATAAAATTGATATAAATATAAAGAAAGGTTTTTTTTTCAGCGAACTAAATATTAGTTATATTACTTTATTTTCTATTATTTATTTAACGATCTCTATTTGTTAGAATTGCTTTGATTTGCAACGTATATCTACACTACATTTGCACCCTAAACAAACCCAGTTGATTCAAACATAAATCATTGATATTTTTTCTGTTTGTTCAGGACTACTACGTTGTCCTTTTATCCCCGATGGAGCTCGACACAACTATGAGAATGATACTTCAAGTACCCATATGGGCCCAAAGGGTCATATATATCCAGGGATCGTGTTTGAAAGATGCCGACCTAGCGAGGGCCAGAATGAATGAGGCAGAGGCCTGTTTTATATTAGCAGCTAGAAATTATGCGGACAAAACGGCAGCGGTAAGTTTGTTTCCTTTATGGTACTTATTCGAGTAAATTATGTAATTTATAACACACTATAAGATCTAGTAGGTAAATTGAACTGTGTAAAATAATTAATTACGTAGATGGTACGGTTAAATTAGACGTGGCTTCTAATATAAATAATAACATACGTAGAGCGTAAGCTTTAAAGTCCTTTTTTCATTAATTAAGTAAGAGTGTAGACGTTATCAATAAAATAAGATTGAATTGGTAATTTGTTTAGACTTTGGTAATGTAACAAAATATTAAAACATTAATTTGTATTGAGTAATGAGTAAATTGAGCAGGCAAAATCCAAAATGCAATACATGAGATGAAGAGAATGCATATTGAAATCATGGGAATAGTAGAAATAAGATGGCCAGATTCTGGAGAAATACAAATAGAAGATCACAATGGGTATTACTCGGGAAAAAGTGATGGATCACATGAATATGGAGTCGGAATAATCGTATTACCCAAGGTTGCCAAATGCGTTACTAACTTAAAACCAATATCAGAGAGAGTGATGTTACTACAAGTAGAACTCAACCCTATTAGTATAAATATCTTCCAAGTCTATGCTTCCACTGCAGACAACGAGGAGGAAGAAGTAATTGAGTTATATTAGAACATCAACAGTATTATACAGAAAATTCCTCGACAGGAAGTCTCATCATTATGGGCGATTTCAATGCCAAGATTGGAGCTAGAGATTAAACACAGTACATTAGAGTACATGGACTAGAAGTCAGAAATAAGAAAGGAGACCTCCTAGAAAAATTCGCAGAAGACTTAGGACTAGTTGTCACCAACACATTCTTTCAATTACCTGTACACGTGGAAATTCCCTCAAGACAGACTGGAAGAATTTTACCCATGTATTTTGGTGGCTTAGGCATTTTAACCTAGTAAGTATAGCCATTGTTGCTTTTTAACCATAGTCAAAATTTCATAACCACGTTTGTTTTAACTAAATGGTTTATACTTATTTTAGGCAATTTTAAAATTTAAACCTGATGATGGACTGTTTAGTCCGAAAACGTTTGTTTTTTTGATGTAGCCCTTTTAAGGATTTTTAAATAAATATACCCACTTACGAAGACTAACCTCTTTTTTGTGATACGTGGTATACAGCCAGCTACAGGAATTGTTTTCCTCGTGGATTTTGTTTTCTATTCTTATTTTGATCTCCTAATTGTAATTATTATTTGTGGAGTTAATTATTGTTCCCAGATATGCATATTTGTCCACGTGTTCGAGGTTGGTTCCGTTTATTAGAAGATTCTCGTTATTTCTTTGTGTTTTCGATATTCTCATAAATTTCATCTTCTTGACATTCATTGTTAGACTATATACTTTTCCATACTTTGCTTTTCTGGTCACCAGTATCTTCAATGTTTTCGGCTAAGATCACAGTGTCCGCATATCTAATGTTGTTAATGGGATAATTCTTTAGTATATACTAGTAATAGATCATAAAATATATAAGCCAGTACTTTGTAAGCCATATTTAAGAAGGTAGTGCCTCGGTAGTTGTCACGTATTAGTGGATCCCCTTGCTTGTGAATAGGTATTATAATACCTACATTCCAACTGTCTGGGAGTTTTCCTTCTCTACAAATGGATGCAACAAGTTTTAAAATGTTTTTTTTTAGGGCGTTTACTCCATACTTAAGTAGCTCAGGTGGTATACCATCTTCTCCAGGGGATTTGTTGTTTTTTAACCTTTTTATTGTCTTGGCAACTTCTTCTTCTGTTGGTATATTATTTTTCTTCCTCTCATCGTTTACGTCTCCACTGTGGTCATTTATGTCAGTCACTTCTTGGTTGCCTATATTTAATTTCGCAGCAAAATTCTCCGCCCATCTTTCCACTATTTGATCCGGCTCATTCATAATTTCGGCTTCCTTACTTTTTTATGGTTATTCTAGGTTTACAATTCAGGCGATCCATTTAAGAAATAATTAATCGTTTTCGGAGTTTTGCTCCACTCTGTATATACTTTGGGATAATAAAGCAGATAATACACTATAAATAAATGCATATCCACAAACGGAATTTGCTGACTTTAAGTTTTTATGACCTATAAGATGTTATGAAGCCATTTAAATCATCTGAGGTTAGCCGTGAAAACTTTTATACTTATGGTTAAACAAAAGCTGTTAAATCTGGAATTGACTGAAATACAGCAAGTCAAAACTCACCTATTCTTTATAGTTCCTAAAGAAGATAATAAAATGAATAGTTAACCCACTAACTTAATGAACCGTTTGAGAATTTATGTGCCTATGAACATAATTAATATTCGCTTTTATTTCCCTTAGGTTATTTAGTTCTCTTGAAAACGTTATTTTAAGATAACAATAACGTAGCTAAAAAGGAGACCAAAACAAAAAGAAAAACCAATAATTTTTTAATATTTATTTATTATAGTTAAGGGAAGAAAATAAATTAAGTAAGTGAAAATTATTACAATGATTGCGACGAAAATGATTACAAACTGGTTTGAAATAAATTGATCTTTTAGCCCTAATTGGTTCCTCCAAAATGTTTCTTTGTTTTATAGTATGTAACTGTTAACATTTTATTTGGAAATAAAATATTAAGTCAATAAAAAACAAATGTTAAGGATCCTAAGCACGACAAATTATTTGTAATGTGTTTAAGTTTACTACAGATGAAGCTAATTCTGATAGACACTTAGATCTGAAAAAACTAGAAGAATGTGAGGTTAATTTAGCGCATGATTAATTTATTAATAAATTATATAGGGTGTGGCGCGACAAGATTTGTTTAAAGGTAACAGATACAGTTATGGTACAAAATCATACATACAAAATCATACAAAAAATAGGTTTTAGATGACGCTGAGTTGAAATACAGATTGAACGAAATAAATTCGGAACATACGAAATATTATGTATTTCGGCTCAATTCAGCTGTACGCGGTTGACCAACAAAAGGTTGTCAAATAATTATATTATAAAAATCCAATACTTCAGCGGGCTCTTGGATTCTGAAATTATAAAAATTGAAAGCTACACATAAATCTACTATTTTATTATGCTGTCAAACCACTTATAGTCCAGGAAATGAAGCATTTCACCTCGCAATTTTTTCGACCTGCGTGGATTCACTTGAAATTTTAACAGAAGGTAGGTAATAGCCAAGGATCAAAATCTATATCGAACCAAAGTGCGCCAAAGCCTTAGGGGTGGTAGCCACCTTATCTCGGGGGTGAAAATTTTTTTTAAGTTTTAACTACAGGTTTCGATTAAAAAGTGATTCTAAACAAAAAATGTTCTATACATTTTTTTTGTAAAACTAATATTTTTCAAGTTATTCGCGATTGAAAGTAACAACTTTTAGACGAAAAAACCGACGTTTTTAATCGATTTTTCGCGAATAACTCGAAAATGGTGCATTTTATCAAAAAAATTGTAAAGAACAAATTTGTAGCTTTTAAAAAGATAAATAAAATTCATTTTTTAAAATGTTTTTGCGATATAATAGGAACCTAAATACGGCCTATTAACGTTCAGCGGTTTTCTTCAAATGCCAAATTTGAAAGATTCAAAGTCAAATATCGGAAAAATGATGGATTTTTGGAAGAAAACTCACACAACCTTTTTTAAAAAGCATAAATAGACCTAATATAAAAAAAAGACTCTAGCTCAAAAATTAAGTGAGTTATGATAAAAATAAGGTCAATACCTCATTTTTTACGAAAAAATCGTTTAATATTTTATTTTATAATTTTTGACAACTAGGGGTAGTTTTCACCCCTAAGAACAATCAGTGTTCGTCAACATGACATAAACTATAAAGCAGTGGGTGAATTGAGCTTAAATCCAAATTTTTATCCAAATCGATCCAAAGCGATATCATTTTTTAGAATTAGTATTTTTTTTACATTGATCTCTAACAAGGGTTGCTTTTAAGGGTTAAAATATGATGAAAACTCTATTCAAAAGTATAAAATAATCAATATTTAACTAATTTAAACCAAATCTTAGCCATATTCAGGTTTAATATGTTATTTTATAATTTTTGACAATTAGGGTAAGTTTCACCCTAAAACCCATCAGCGCACTTCGGTTTGATATAGATTTTGATCCTTGGGCTATTACCTACCTTCTGTTAAAATTTCAACTCAATCCATGCAGGACAAAAAAATTGCGAAGTTTTAACTTTTTTCGAGCTTCATTTCCTGAACTATTATCGCTTCCTTTACGCAAACGACATTGTTGCGAGACAGATAGTTGAACGATATTTTATACAATGTGTATACGCAGGTATGGATTTATTTTTGTCCAAGTTTTATATTGGTCCACTATTTCAAATGCAGTTCAAACAGACATATATATTAAATTGTATGATCCGTTTTAAATTCGTTCAATCTGTATATTGATGTCCTGAATAGGAAACTTTTGATTGTACCGGGAGTAAACGTCAACTTTATTCTTTAACTAGAACCTACTATTTTTAATTTTATTTCCAAAGTCTACATGGAATTTGATAAAATTTGTACAATGTCCTATACCAAAAACGAAGTATTTTTGAGATATTTCGATTTTTTTTCAAAATTAAAAAAAAAAACAGCCTGTATTTTACTACATTTTTCGCTGTATTTTTTTAAGACAAATCGTTTCTTATGGGGTTTTGCTATTCCGAAATCCAACCATTTTTGAGATATTTCATTATTTAAATTAAAACATAACAACACTTTATTTTCATAATAGTAAAGGGTAGGCCATGGCTGTCAAAGATTTTATAATTAGAACGTTAATTGTTTAGATAATTTGTTTTGACATTTTTTTTAGACCAAAGTGTTTTTATAGTAAATAATAAATTTTTTTTTATTGAGTTTAATGCGTCATCAACTAATGGCCATTGGCATGGTACAGTGAATTTTTACAGTCAGGTACCTAGTGTAGTGTGTGTGTGTGTGTGTAGAGTAATTATCTTGATACTTAGCAAAGTCGACGTCATTG